GGTTTGTGTTATCAGTGTAGACTGGTTTGTGTTATCAGTGTAGACTGTTTTTTGTCAGTGTAGACTGGGTTGTGTCAGTGTAGACTGGTTTGTGTCAGTGTAGACTGGGTTGTGTCAGTGTAGACTGGTTTTTGTCAGTGTATACTGGTTTGTGTTATCAATGTAGACTGGTTTTTGTCAGTGTAGACTGGTTTGTGTCAGTGTCATGTATCCGTGCTGCGCTGTGAGGACTTTGGTAGAAAACTTCATCTAACAAACACGATTCATTCTGATTAAAGTGACAAACTCTTCTGGACCCCATCAGGCTGGCTCCACGAACTGGCCAAGCGTTTGGGAACTCCATACCTCCTGACCCCTCTGACCTCCCTGCTGGGCGTGTCCGACTCGCCTCAGGGCAGCGTGACGGCGGGCTTGGTTAACTACAGCCAGTGGAACAGCTCTGGGCTGAACGGGACCGGCTCGGTGGGTTCAGGCAGCAGGAGCAGAGCGAGGGCACTGAACGGCTCGGGGGCGACGCTGAGCGGTGGGCCGTCGGTCAGGAGCTCCTACGTGACGTCGCTGTACTTTGCCCTGAGCAGCCTGACCAGCGTGGGCTTTGGCAACGTCTCGGCCAACACGGACTCCGAGAAGATCTTCTCCATTTGCACCATGCTGATTGGAGGTGAGACAAACTCAGAAACAGTTCCAAAATGTTGGATGTGGTGTACAAGGTGAGGTCTATTCACGATAGAACAACCTGTTCCATCAAGCAGTGGAAGGTCTGAAGCATCTTCTTAAAATGTGCTTCCCTGACAAAGACTGTCTGGATGGAAGCAGATGTTCCACAGATCTGTATGTACTGTTGCATTGATGGAGCCTTTCCAGATGTGTAAGCTGCTCATGCTAGAGGCACTAATTCAACCCCATACCATCAAGTTACCTCGTTTTCCTAAATTTACTTCCATTTCTTAGTTTAAAGATGTGAAGTGTTTACTGGGTTCCACTGGGAGTAAAAATCTAATTAATGAGATTTAGAAGTCTTTGTGTTTGTCAACACTGGGGTTGTACTTTAAGCACACTGTTGACCTTTGACCCCACTAAGGAATGCTCTCCATCTCTGTTTGTGCAACTCGCCTGCAGCGTTGATGCATGCCGTTGTTTTCGGCAATGTGACGGCCATCATTCAGAGGATGTACTCTCGCCGTTCCCTTTACCACACCCGCACCAAAGACCTGAAGGACTTCATCCGTGTGCACCGGCTGCCCAAGGCCCTGGAGCAGCGCATGATGGAGTGTTTTCAGACAACCTGGTCGGTCAACAACGGGATTGACGTCAGCGAGGTAGGACGGGGCGACGCCGGACAAAAGACAAATCTACGCTTTGAATTACTGACGCCGTGCACGATCCCTCTGCTTGAAAGTCTCATAATTGTTTGCCGAGATGTGCACGTAGCAGTTAGTTGTGAATATGTGGGAAGGTGAAAGGTTTTATTTGCCTGCTACCTTCACCTTCCCACACAGTCCTGCTCTGACAAAAGAACAAAGACGAGCGAGCAGAGCTTCAACCGTAGTTAACGCTCACGGTTTTGAAATGTTTTTTTTCAGCTGCTGAAAGACTTCCCCGATGAGCTGAGGGCTGATATCGCCATGCACCTGAACAAAGAGCTGCTGCAGCTGCCGCTGTTCGAGTCGGCCAGCAGGGGCTGTTTGCGTTCCCTCTCCCTCATCATCAAGACCTCCTTCTGCGCTCCGGGAGAGTTCCTCATCCGCCAGGGCGACGCTCTTCAGGCCATCTACTTCGTGTGCTCGGGATCCATGGAGGTGCTGAAGGACAGCACCGTACTGGCCATTTTAGGTAAAGAGAAGAACGTTCTTCTGGTGTTCTTGATACGATAAACAGAAAAACTAGTTTTGTCCAGGATCATTGGCACCGCTGAAGTTCAGCACCGTTGACGACGACAACTCTCCACTTCTGGTGTTGAGTACGTCCCCTGTGCCCAAGATTTAAAAACAAACAGAACAGGTCTCCTAACTCAGCAGCAGACTCAAACAGACATTTTTCCACCTGAATCTTGAAGGACTTTTTTGTTGAAGAGTCCAAACCAAAGAAGCCCTCCTAGATTCTGGTAGCAAAGTGACTCTGAAACCAACAAAGATGGACCGACCCTCAGAATGAAAAGTTGAGGTTCACAGATTCCAGCACTAATCCATAATCCATAATCCATCCAGTTCATCCACAAGATGATGCTGTTTGATTTGAGAACAACCCAAGTTGAGACGTGGTGTGGAATGTAAACTAATCACAAACATTTCTTCATCTCATGACCTTCAATTTTATTTCCAGTGGAACACGTGAAATATTTCAAATGTTCAATTAAACCGCTGCTCAAAGAAGTTGTTCCAGGTCCAAGTTTCCACTGTGAAGATCCCCTCTTCTTCAAATAACACTTTGAAGGTCCAGGACCTGAGGAGACCAGTTGTTGGATCTGATTAGACCAGTTACTGGAGGTTTCAGAGGACCCGAGAAGACCAAATGTTGGTAGTTTTGGGGATCCTGAGGAGACCAGTTGTTGTTGGTTTTGGAGGACCTGAGGAGACCA